AGATTTTATAATTTTGTGAATTAAACACAAGTAGTGTATAGTCCTCCTATCGTTCATTCGGTAAAGATTCAATTGCTTGAGATGGGGTGTGATATGTTCTTGCCTATTTACGTTACTTACATAACGTACGCATGCGTTTTGAACTTTTTGGATTCTGTACGAGTATGAATTTTTTAAGCAAGGACCATCACAACATCACAATAATCAAATAGGGACAACACAAGGGAATTAACAAGTTTACGTTTGACAGAAAGTGAAAGAATATTTTTATATTTATAAAGACACCGAAGCCGACCATACGCGGATTGTATCAACTTACTTACATGCGGGGTGAAGGTAAGATTTTCGTCTAGTATCAGACCCAAGTTTTTGTGAACGGTTTTAAAGTTTATTACGTTGCTATCAATATTTACATCGGTTAGTGAAGAATTAATTCCCCCAAGCAAATGTTTCTTACCGATTAACATTCCTACAGTTTTAAATGGATTTAGAATAAGAGAGTTGTTACTTGACCATTCGGATATACGATGCAGATCTTCATTAATTAAGGTAGTTGTATTTGAAAACTGCTCTGGATAAAACGAATAATAAATTTGATTATCGTCTGCATAACTGTGGTACCGACCGTGGTGCACACATCTACTGAAGTCGAAAGTAAACAGGGAGAAAAGAAGTGGCCCTAAAATTGACCCTTGCGGAACTCCAGTAAATACTTGCATGGAAGACGACATACTTTCTCCACACTCCCCTTGCAACGCAACGTACTGACATCGACCGGTTAGGTAATTTTCAAACCACGCTACCGCGGATTCACTACTGCCCAGGTATGATAGCTTAGACAACAGCACTTTATGGTTTAGTCCATCAAAAGCCTTCGAATAGTCCAACATCAGAAGTAACGTTATTTTTCCTTCATCCATCGCTCTAAGAATATCATCCATAAGATCTAGCAAACACGAGGAGGTGCTGAAACCTTTGCGTAATCCTGATTGCCTCCCTGGTAAAAGATCATTTTGCAAAAGATAGCTTTGCGACTGCCTCAGTACAACACGCTCAATAATCTTTGATAGCATTGGCAAGATGCTTATTGGTCGAAAATCAGAAAATGTTTGGGGTGCTTCTACTTAGGAATTGGACGTATTTTAGCTTGCTTCCAGATCGAAGGAAAAGTATTTGTTGAAAAAGAAAAATTAATTATATGAGTTAGTGCGTCTAAGCAAAAGGGCAAGCATAACCGTATCATATATGTGTTTATATTATCAGTTCCAGGGGAGTTAGATTTAATGGAATACGTGATACGTTCTACATCGTCCTTGGATACACACACAAGACTAAATGGATTTTTTACATTTGGATGAACTGACGTGGAAAATTCATTCATGGTTGTATAGTTGGGAGGAATAGCTTTAATGGACTTAATAAAATATTTATTTAAATCTTCCGCGTTTCTTAAATTAATTGGTATTGTGTCAACCGGATCGTTACTGTGAACGCCTAGCGTTTTCAAATTTGACCAAAACTTTTTGGGGTTGTCCACATTTACCTTTAACACATGCTCCATGTAAGCTCTCTTTTCCCTCCTTATAGAAGCAGTAACAAAATTTCTTAGGGACTTATAAGCGATCCATTTACGATTAGATAATTGAAGATTGGCGTTAATATCTTTTAAGCTAGCTTTGTATTCCTTTAGGGCTTTATCCCGTAACGACATCATTACACGAATTACATCGGTGATCCAAGGGCACCGTTTTCTAGTTATTAAAGCACAATTAGGTACTGTTAATATTGTTAATACAATTAGGTACTGTTAATATTGTAAATAGTCTTAAATAAATTTGACGTTCCTTCTTATCAAATTATCAGTTGCTACGCAACACTTTCCGGCATTGTGATGTAATAGGCCACTTTCTGGACTCAAATAAATGCTTTAATGTATGGTATAGCTGACAGTATGGAATAATATATTAAACAAAGTTATCATTCACACGGACAAATAGATGGACAGACAGATAAAGGAATAGAGGGACAGACCAATAGACAGACGACAGACAGCAATACAAAATTGTGAACTGTGTCTAGGATCCTTAATAAACGGTAAAAGTGTAAAATTATGGAACATGCTAAAAATGACTTTTTGGTTTTTTTTACAATAACTTTTTTAGCAATAAACCCAGAAAAATTCCTTCCTTGGTGCAAGCCTCGATACTATAACGAACCAAATAGCGAAAGAAGTATAACAATAGCTCGTAAGATAAAGAACTAGTAGCATTCAAATGAACGGACGGACGGACAGAAAGAGGGACGGACAAAGTGGCCACAATAGCGCATTTTTTTGTAGAAACGCGCTAAAAACCAAGGTAGGTAAATGAGAAAATCTGCAAGATAAATGTTCAAAGTTACGGTTTGGAGTTTAGACAATAGTGAATTTTTATGGAGATTGAGTCAAAAAATGTCCATTAAAAGGCTGCCGGCAGAAGAAGCAACAATTAATAGTGTGATCATATCATTTCTAGGCCATAACTCATAAGTCCATTTTCAATAAGCGCAGCTTGCAGTAAGAAGAATAATACAGAACTCTTCGCAGTCTATTTGTGGGATAATTTGAATGACGCTCTCTCTAATACACGTGTTTCTTTGCATAACACATACAAGGTAAACGCTTTACGTTACATACTAAAATGCTGGTGGAGAGCCGGCACGAATCGCGAAAAAAATCATATGCAATCCGGGAAAATTACCAATTCGATGTATTAATTCGGTCACCATAATTCATGTTAAAAGCTAAACCAAAACTAAAATTACGTAAACCGTTTATGTAAATGGAAGTTTTACCTAAATTAAAACGGCGCAGTTGTATAGAACTTTGAAGTAAAAATTATAATTTTAATTCAATTGCTTTCAAAATGTGTTCAATGGTTTTTTAATCAAAACCTTCCAAGCGAAAGGTTAGCTGTCACTTTGCATACAGTTGTGTAATAGAATTGTATAAAAAGCACGGAATACGAGTAGGTATATGCGACGGCGCAATGGTGAGAGCGTCGCGATGGAAACAGTGATGGGTGGGGGAGGCGTCGAGGTGGGGTACGTATGTCAAGTGTGTCCACTTGTCAGTCAGTGTTAGTCCACACGTGCTTTTCGTGACGATACAAGTGGTTTGAAACCACTCACGGCGGTTGAGCCTAAAGGCTTTTGTGCACAATGTGAATATTATATGAGGAAATCCAATTTTTCAATAATATGCATTATATAATAAATTGTAAGTTTGATGTTGGTTTGGTGGTTTGAATAGATTTGTTTTGTATCATTTTTTTAATTAAAAAAAGTGGTTTAAACTTTGTTGTTTTGTTTAACTGTAACTTTTTTATCATTGCAGTAAAGTGAACAGCATGCATGCACTAAATGGTTTCTTAGCTTACATTTCCGTTTCAAAGGTTTCGCATTTACTATTATTAAACTCCACGCACTTTATAAGAAACCGAAATGATAATATAACTACTTCCCATGATAAACATGCCTTCCTATATTTAATAATAGTCTCGAAGCTTTACTTAATCAAAAGCATTCCCGCTTGGGGTGCTGGGTTTATCAGTTTCGGTAAGTGGCTAAATCATTTGTGTTTGTGAATCGGAAATTTACTTACAAAGAAATTTCGAGGGTTTCAAACCCTGCAGTAAATGTGGAGGGACATAAAGATGTGAAACAGTTGAATTGAATTCCTTCACATTTCTTATACTTTTGAAATAAGTATTCTTATTCTCAACTCTTTTCAAAGGTATAGGGATATTATCGTAGGATACTACCTATATTACATTCTAAATTTGATAAACTAAAAAAAAATTGAATTCGGATTCTTGGAAGTAGCCGGTCGTGTGAAGTCGAAAAATTTTTTATAAATGAATGAAGTGGTATTTGAAAAAGCGAGGTATCGATGACGGAAGGAAGGAAACCTAAAATAAGTGTTGCTGAAATTGATACCTTCAGGATGTAATGGACTAGCTTTCAATTAGTGGAACTTTTTCTATTAATAGCAAGGAAGAGTCACAGTTAAACACGCGTAACTGTGTCATCCCATGTAGGTATGTGTAGGATTCTTCCAGGATATCTGCAAATTATTACTAAAATGGATACTTACCAAAATTTTTACGGTACAGTTAGGCGTTTCCAAATCGATCGCTTTTCATTCACATATTATGATATGAACGGTAAGAATTGTTTTTCATGCAATACTCTTATGTGGATCTCGGTCATATAAAAAGTGTAGGTACCTACAGCCTACTGCTTGATGTAGGTAAATCGAAAAAACTAAATCTTGAAAGGAGGATATACCTAGGTAAATTAAATCCTTAAAAATGAAAAATTGAAATAGTACCAAGTACCAAAATGTCTACATCTTGTTAGCGGCATTTAACACAAGAGTACCTACTTGACTAATTTAATCCATGATGCCGCATTGTTTGTTTTATTATCTAGATTCTAGATATTCACGTAAAGAGTAACAGATTTTTCCTTCATTTTGTATTTATTGCGATTGAAGCACATAATTTTCTTCATAAATATTACACATTTCATGTATATAATTACGATAGTTTCAAAATGGATCGGCTTGCGAGATTACTAAAATAGATATTGTGCAGGTCATAAAGAATTACTCTTTCATTTCCTATTTTTCTAAATCAACTCCCAATTTTGTAAACCGATTATAGGGATACTTTGTGTTTTACGGTGCCGAATCCAAATTTGTTTGCAAGCAATATTCCCTTGGGTGTTCCAAGATACTTATTCGTAATAAGCTTTAGCACTGTTTTCGGCTTTAGCAGTTTCGAAGCTGCGCATTTTGCCCAAAAGAAAATATGTATGATACAAAAATGAAAGTTATATTCGGTGCATACGACTGTATAGGACCAATGATTGAAATACTGGAGTCATTGAAAAAGAATACTTTTTTCGTCATTTTTCGAAGGTGAATACGATTTTCTAGAAGAAACACAAATACGAGCACAAAATATATGTGAGAACGAGTAGGCGTAAGTGTTTGTCATTAGCGGCAGTTACTTTGATCTAGATCAGAGATCTTTATTTGCCACTTTATCACAGCAAACTTCTACTCGTTTTACTTCCACCTAACCTAACTTTCGAACCTTTATAATATTATTTTCTATTTCGATTTAAATGTTCTCATTAACGCACTGTTTTCCGCTCAAAACAGTGCGTTAATGAGACCTATTAACGCACCGTTTTTAAGTTGGTATTAAAGAGGAGAACCTAAATTCACTACCCTATTTGACATTCGATTGTATTTATTTACATATTAGGGTTATGTTTTGATATACAGGAAGACAAGATTCCCTTTCTATTTGATTAAAAGCGAGACATGAGTAAGGCTGAAGTGTTAATCAAATTACAAGAAGAACAATATGAAAAAACCACTTAATTACTTTCTCCCAAAACTCAAAAGGGAATTAAATATTACGGTATGTAGCGTAAGAACCGAGATATCAACAATGTGGGGCTTTGAGGTAAATTTTTACATTAATGATTATGCCTCTTTTTGTAGCACGTTCAACATCTACGTGCAATCTGTGACCAATGATTGCTAGTGCGAATAGTGTACCTATCTTCCAAAAAAGACCTACAGGTTATAAAGGAGATTTCGAATGGGGAAAGGATGACAACGAGGATACCTTCGGAACACATTAAACAATATTTTAAAGAAGCAGCTTATTGCCTTTAGCACTTGTTCTGCGTTATTAATATCTTGAGCCTGATTTGTGTAGTTTCGTTATGCTCCTAAGAGGAAGTGACAATCCGAAGCCGAACCCGTCCTAATGAGTGACACCTATCACGTAACAACAACCCACTATAAGGACCGATCTGTTAGTGACCGTTAATGGCAAATCGCGAAAAGAAACCTTTGTTTTTCTTTTTATGTCAGTCACCAATATAAGTAGAAGCAGTGTCATATGGGCGAAATCTGTTAGCTGTTAGCTTTGTCGTTAATCGACAGTGAGACGAATGAATTTCAAATAACTTATATAAAAGGACGAAGGACTGTATTTTGCCTTTATGAATTGTTCCACAGTTAATGTACCAATTTCTGAAGTTTATTAATTAAAACAAAATTGATGATACTGTACAACCTGCACTAATACAACTTCTATATCAAAATTCCCTAGTTACAAAAAGTTACTATAACATCATTTTGATAACAATTTCTCGAAAATATCTTCTCAATAGAAAAAATAGTATAAGAAACTTGTTTCATAAGACGCCCCTTCGCACTCGTTCATTAGAAAACTCGCCGCAAGCGGCTCGTTTTCTAAACTTGAACTCGTACGTTAAACGCGCCACTTATGAAACTTGTTTCTTAATATACTAATTTCATACCACATTCTTACTTGGTGACTCTGTCCTACAATCTAGTTTTTACCGAACACAGAAAATGACGTGCAATTCAGTTCAAAAGCATGCAACTCGCTCTTCACTATGACGTCATCACTTGATTTTTGCCCATTTTTGATTTTTTTTTAATTTTTGAGGCTGAAAGGCCCTTTCTGTGACTGTATATAAATATTTCAAGTTACGGTAACCACTCAAACAGCGTTCAATGAAACTACATTCGTTAATTTTTTCGATGTAGCGTTCCATTAAATTATAACAGTCGTATTAAAAAGCAGGTAGTGTAGAATATGTTATAATTGATACAATTTTTCTTTCGGCTATCGATTTCAGAACGCAATATCTCGTTCCATCATCAGACCAAACGTCAAATGGCTAAAATGCATAAACGTAGGTAGGTATATAACAAATTTCATGATGTTCGAGTGAGGAATGTATTCGTAAATACGAAAAAATTGTATCAATTATAAGATATTCTATGGGCCAGCTGGTTAATTTAAGGATGGTATAATTTGGGTGTACCTAATTTTCCTTTGGATTACAGTTAGACACATATACTAGGATGTAAAAAAAACATGAGTGCCATCTCAAAGTGGTACCTACCCACGTAATAGAAATGATGACCAATCCAAGACGACGGAAGTTAAGTTTTATAAAATAAGTTATATCTCTACTATTGATCTGATTTCATTATTGTTTTTTTAAATGAAAACCCTTTACGTGTGCTACTACTTCTTCGATAAAGTCAACTGTTAATAAATAATTAAAAATAATATATAACTCTCGCCAGGAAAGATTGCCGGTCACAGCACACCTTGTGTCGATCTACAATCTATGTTTTTTTAAGATGCGAGCGACTTCCGGAATAGGATCGTGCCAACGTTCAACGAAACGTCTTTTTGTTCAGCATTGACACGATACTATCCCGGAAGTTGCTCACATCTTTAGAAAAACATAGATTGTATACCGGGATCAAGTGTTCTGTGATCGGCAATTTTTCCTGGCGAGAGGTTTATCAATCACCAATTACGTGCTGTAAGAAATTTGCGAGGAAATTTGTAAGTGGATGAGGTATAGGTATGTACTTGATATGAAGCTCTTGAGGATATGGAGGCTATACTTGGGGTTTTGTGATGATTTTTAAATCATCTTTAATGTTTGCTACTCGTACTTCCGGAATAGGATCTCTTTTTCATTTTGACGTAATATTTTTCAGTTTATTCTTTCAAGGCGAATCAAATTGTTTACTTACGTTACAGCGAAAACTCTGTTTGTAGGTTCTTGTACATGGTTAACTTCACCATCAAAGTAAAAAAATTGGTTTCGGGTAGAAAGCGTTTCAGGATTTTCTCTTGGATTCAAGGATAAATCTTCTCGAATAAAACCGTATGCCAACTTTTCTGCTGTGGTATATTCATCTTCATTTGGTATTGGTCTTATTGTGGAGTTATGATAACATACCTCTGCAGCTACAATATCTCTAGTTTGTAACGTCGTTAACTCGGTTGGTAATACAGAAAACGCATGTATCTAATCCAAAACGTATATACATACCATATAATCCCATGTATATACATAGAAGATCCTCGTGAGTAGGTATAAGATTTATACATAAAAGATACATACAATGGGTGTGCCTAAACATCCATAGCACATCCAAAATGTATTTTATAGAATATCCATACTGGACATAAAATGCATAGGTCTATAATGAATATACATAGTATATACACAAGATGGACAGGATATTCCCTGTACATTATGGATTTAAAATGTATATACATAAGATACCGAATGCTATGTGAGTTATGTGTACGAAACAACGAATTGACGCGCTATAGAAATATAACTATAGTGCAT